CTGTATATATGTGTATTTTTGTGCTGATAAGCCTGAGTGGTCTGTTGACTGACCTTTTTATTTGTTCAAATAATTGTTATGGGCAGGTTACAATATAAAAATGTTTGTTATAATCATGTCTTGTGATTATTTGACAGGAGTTTTACTTTTAAACTTTAAGTGTATTTAATTTAGTTATGTTAGTTATGATAATTTTGTTATAATGTAAATACAATAAAAATTAAACCAAGATTTAGAATAATTATCATTTTGATCCATACATTGGTAATATCTGACTGGACCTCGTGACAGTTTATGTTCAACAAATTGGGCCCCGAGTCAAAAATGTTAAGAACCCCTGTTCTAAATTACATCAAATTTCAATTCAATTCAATTCAATTCAAAAAAATTATTCATTTCATTAAAAACAAAATAACTATTTACAATTTTAGCTCAATATCTGTGCATTTACCTTAGCTAATGACATTTTTGTGTTAGCTAAGTTTTTTTATCCAATATGTCATAATATACAGTATTTTGGTAATAGACAGACATGATTATCGGTTCGTTCTCACAAGTTACCAGCACAAAGACTGGGCTTGTTGATATGATGCAAATAGTTCAGCTGAGAGTCGCATCTCTACCAGTTTGTAAATCCACTTCTCTTGGCTGTTACTGTAAACCTGACTTTCTTTTAGAGCTGCTACAATTCTGACATGTTTCTTTTTCTGTGTTTTTTCAAATTACAGCAGCAAAAAGGGAGCTGCAGCTCGCCGCAGAAAGTAGATTGGTTCACTCCTTACTGCTCAGAAACCAAAGTGTGGTGACGGACAGACGCAAGACGAGACAACGTACGCTGTGGCACAGACTGCCCCATTGGAGAAACTATTAATGCTGAGGTACACCCTGCAGTTACCCAACCTTGCCCTGATACATGCAACCAGGAGCCTGTAGAACCTGCTGTCCCATAGGAAGAGAAACAACTCCATCTGTTTGCCATCATGCTTCCATACCCTCCACTGTTTGGTTCTCAGTGTTTTTGTAAATAAAGTGTGACTCTTCAAACCATGTCAGTAGATCTGTTGTTATTCAGAAACCAATAAAGTTCTGTATTTTCATATGTGTAATTTTAAGGTCATTTATTCAACACTTTTCTATAGATACTTGTTTGGCACAGGTCACAGCTGCCATCTAAAAACAGGCGCAGGTTGTGTTTAACTGCAATATGATAGAAAAGAAGCAGAAATTTATAATATTTAAAACATTACACACAGTGTAGTTCATTTTATTTCATTACCTCCGCCAAGGGCGAGATAATGCTTTCGGTCACGTCTGTCTGTCTGTCTGTCTGTCTGTCTGTCTGTCTGTCTGTCTGTCTGTCTGTCTGTCTGTCTGTCTGTCTGTCTGTCTGTCTGTGGACATTACTCAAAAACTTGTGGATGGATTGTCATGACATTTTTACCACGTGGATACTGGGCTAAGGAACACACCTTTAAATTTTGTTGATGTTCTGGATCACGAAAGCGGATACAGGAATTTTTTTTAACACTCTGAGATAGGTAAAGCTGTGATGCTTTCACAGGGCTTCTGTAAAAAAACAGTGAGCTGGATTGGACAGCACGGACTTCAAACTTTATAAAAGTAATGTTAAAGCCACATTTAATGATGAATATTTTTGCCATAATATGCACATTTTCAGAACGTTTTGTGACCAAGAAGTGCGTGACTGCACCCATTTTTCCCATTTTCTCAAACACACCACATTTCCGAAACAAGCAATCAAAACAGTTTCTCACTACTAGGCTTGTAAACAGAGAGCTGCCGGGCCTCAAAGTTTGGAGTAGTGATGGGATAAATGGCTTCTTGATGGGATCCGGATCTTAGGATCTCGTTTGTTTCATAGAGCCGTTCAAAAGAGCCGTTTGATTTTGAACGAGTTACGTCATCATGGGGAAATATGTCATCACATATGACGACGTGATGACGTCATCACGTTACGTGGGCGGAACCATGTGTTTTGTCAAGCAGAAATTCCCCTCCCCCTTTCCCATGAGCTTCTGTACTCCACCGCTCTGCCTGTTTTCCGTGAAAAAGCAAAGCAGGAGCAATTTAAGGATGAAATAATAAAGATTATTATGAGGAATAAAATTTATAAAACTACAAATGGCTCACACCTGCCCATGACTCGGTTCCTATCATTCATTGTAAAGAGCCTTTAAAAAGATTCAGATCATTCATGAACGTCACATCCCTAGTTTGGAGACGGGGGAGCCAAGAAGCACTTTATGAAGAGAGTCAAACCATTACAAACTCATACAAGGGGATAAAACTGATGTTTTACATGGTGAAATGTGACTGATGAAAACTTAGGAGCTTAATCCGACACCAGTTTGACAATGAATAACGTCGGGTGACGAGTCTGACTTTTTTTTTCACATTGGACTCCACCGAGAAGAAATCCCGTGCATACTGCCTGCTTAAATGTTCGCTACATCAGAACTTATTCGACAAATGTGTTTCCATCTCTGCTTTTGCGCATTAACTCTTACAGGATGGGGAAAATTGGTCTTGGCGAAGGTTTGCACTCTCCAAGTGCTTCTAGTCACTATACGTATTCACAACAAACCTAACCTCAGGGCACTAAACAAGTCTGTTCAAATTGTGTCCACAAAAACACAAAGAAGTTCTAATTGACCCAATCTGTTCATCAACATCCTAAAAACAAAGATGTCACCTCTTGTCTGAGTTTAGCTTTCATCTCTCCCAGATCTTCATCTTGTAGCTCATCAACTTCATTCTCCTCTACATCTCTGAGTACCAGAACACATCTCCATTTCTCAGGAATTTACTCTCAAAACCTTAAAATAACTGAGTCAATAACTGCACTGCCATCTCAGCTAGACCTTTCCACACCTCCACTGGTGTCATCAGGTCCAACCTTCCCTTTCTTTATTCTCTTCAAAGCTGTAAATCTATGGCTTCTGATACAAAAAAAACTACTTCAGTACCATATATATATATATGTGGTTGGCAATGGTTTTTTTAAACAGCTACTTTTGCTTTTATTTTGTTACATTTTAAGGCTAACAAAAAACTTAAAATGTAACAAAAAGCTAGCAAAGTTACTTCTTGACTTTAAAATGCAACACCTAGTTACTCGTTACAAAACTAAATATGTTCGAACTCATCATGAAAGATGTTTCTGCATTCTAAAACATGACATGTTGAATTTACTCAACCAAGTCACGTCAACTGACTCCACTGAGCCTAATCAATTAAATTCAGCAAAGAATATACATAAATTGCTTAGTTTACTTAACCTGGTTTAGTGGAACCAGTTTGGTTCAGTGAATTTAACAGTTTATTTCTTAGAGGGCGAGTAAAAGTACTTTTACTTTTACTTTCCCAATTTTTGTGAACAGTTTTATGACTTTTACTTGTGAAGTAATTTCATCAGTGAAATTTATTTTCACCAATGTCATTTTCTGTTCATGTAACTTTACTTTTACTTAGTTATTTTTTCAAGTACTTTATAGACCTCTGCCAGAAGCTCAAGAGTCAGTAGCAACAGGCAGCAGAATAAGCTGTTTGACAGAGAAGAGTTTGCAAGATTTCCATGTTCAGCTCTACTGCTCATCCCACAAATGCTTGTTCCTTACAAATTTGACACCATTTAAAAGGGAACAGACTTTCCAACAGTAACATTTATCAGCATTGTTCCACAAAGAAATAATCTAATAAACACAAATGTCCTTTCTACACACACACACACACACACACACACACACACACACACACACACACACACACACACACAC